AATATTGCATGTCAATGATATATATATAATGGGTTTATTTTGAGGGCGTGACAGAAGGCCTAGGGAACATCCCTAACACCTCAAAAGGGACCATTGTAACTTGTAAAAGCTTACAAAATTAGCACGGGACTCTTGGTTTGAAAACTAAGTCAAAAAATGCTTTTGTCCAACACTTAGGCTTAAAAATAGGCTATCAGGAGCCAAAATCATGTAACAGTCACGAAAAGGCCCGGGGAACACCCTGAACACCTCGGGAGGGACCAATGTAAGTTGTGGAAACTAACGGAACTAGCACGGGACTCTCGGTTTGAAAAATGCACTTTTTCAACACTTAGGCTTGAAAATAAGCCATCGGGGGCCAATATCGTGATACAGCCACGAGAAGGCTCGGGAAACACCCCGAATACCTCGGGAGGAATCAATGTAAGTTTTGAAAATTTACAAAATTAGCAAGGGACTCCCAGTTTGAAAATTAAGTCAAAAAATATACTTTTCTAACACTTAGACTTGAAAAATGTTAAATTGTATATTTGATTGATAAGATAATAATTGTCTTCCTTTTTTTTTTTTTTCTTTTTGTTTTGTTTTGTTGCAGATTGGAGATTCGAAATGAACGTGTTTGGTAATTTGGAGAGTAGAAGCTTGCTCATTTTGTGTTTTTGTTAATATTACCTTACATGTATTTTGGTTGCGTTGTAAATTTTATATTTTTGTGGGTATTAGGGGACGTGTTTAGTAATCAACACTTGATATTATATTTTTGTGGATATTAGGAGACATGTTTTTTGTGGATATTAGGAGACGTGTTTGGTAATCCGCAATTGATATTGTATTTTTGTGGATATTATGAGACATTTCAACTGTGGTGTTTATGAAAATGAACAGATTTTTGTATTGATCTGTAATAGATATTTTATTGAACAGGTTATTAAAATGCATAGGGAATTTTTAGTGAAAAGAATAATTCAAAATTAAAAATATTGTCCTCATTTTTAAAAAAATTAATTATTATTAGCGACGAAATAAAAAATCATCGCTATTAGTTTTCAAACAACGTGACGAATAATTTTGTCACTAATGATAATATAGTTCCAAACAAATAATTTTGTCACATTTGTTGAATATTTCGTTGCTAAATTGAAATATTTGGCGACAAATTTTTTTTTTTATCGTTAAAGAATTTTGTTTTGTGCTCATTTTAGTGACAAATTGTTTTGTGCTCATTGGTGAGAATAAATTTCATCACTAAAACCTCTATCTTCATATTTGGTGACGAAATATTTTGTGGCCAAAACAATTAAAATAAAATATTATCTAATTCTAGCGACGAAATTAATGTTACAGAGGACGAAAAATGCAACATTTAGAGATGAAAAATTTCGTTGCCAAAAATGAAAAATAGGTGACGAAATGATTTTTTGTCACCATCTACTTTCAGTGACAACGTATAAGCAACGAATATGGTGACAAAATTATTTCGTTGTAGATCACTTTGGTGACGAAAATTTGATGTTTAGAGATAGAATGAGTTTGTTACCAAAAACCTTTTTTGCTGTAGTGAATTTCACGGGCTTCACAAAATCCTAACCATCATCAAACATATTTTAAAATACCCATTGGGCGGGGCCTCCAAAAGTTAGATATATAATAATAAAAAATATATTAAAACTAACACCAAACCAAATTAAATATTTTAATAAATTAATTGGATCACATACTTTACTGAGGAGGTGTACCTAACAAATAGGTCATAACCAATCGCAAAAAATCATAACTAGGGCATATGGAAGTGTGTAATCAAACACAATAACATAAACAGTTTAAATCATCGAAACATGTCCATAATGTTGTCCACAAGTCTCATAAACACAATCAAATGAAAAGCCTATGATTATCAAATTGAACTTAATTTCAAAATCAAACACAATAAAATAAAATTTCAAATCATCGGAATAGATCAGTGGACTTAACAGGTCTCTCAAACACAAAAAAATGAAAAGCCTATAATTATCTAATTGACTTAATTTTAAAATCAAACACAATAAATATAAAGAAGGACTTGCAGGTCTTAATAGGTGGATTTATTGCCCAACGGTGTTTTTATAAGAAAGTGTGACTAATTGTTAACGTTTAGCAACATTTTGAAAAATTCATCATTGAACAATATCGCTAATTGTTTATTTTTAGTGACAGATTTAGAAAAACGTCATAAAAAAAGTCACTAATTATTAGTTTTAGCGACGAATTAATAGGATTTATGCCTCATTTGGGAACTTGACTATTTTAGTTGTTTTTTAAAATTTTTGGCTATATTTATGAGATGAAAAAAAAAGTTGTGTTTAGGATAATTTGTGATTATTTATTTATAGGAATAGACGGTTGTGAGAGAAAAAGTAATTGATTGATGTGTAGAATGTAAGATTTTGTCTTATTAGCTTTTTAAGTAATTTTTTTTTTTTTTTGTGGTCTTTATTGGCTATTTTAGTCCAAAACCATCATCCTAGGAATCGCCTTAATAAGAATTAAATCAAACTATTAAGACCTGTTTGTAATTTATTCTAAAATAAATAGTTCAAACCAAACATATACATAACCCTCATTTGGGATGAGCTAATTTAGCCTAACTAAAAAAGTTATGTTTGAGATAAATTTTGATTTTTTTTTTGAATTAATTAGATAATTGTGAGAGAAAAAATGAAATGATAATGATTTAGATATGGCATTTTGTCTTATTAGCTACATTAGACTATTTTGTCTTTATTGACTAATTTAACCAAAATAGCTTATGCCAAATGAAGCCTAGGCCTTTCAAGTTTTGCCAAATCCAATTTGTTTGAACTTAAACCATCGAGGGTGGTGGCCCAGTGCATTATGCATGTGCTTTCCATAGGGGCGTGCAGGGGTTGACTTTTGGGGGCGCAATTTATCTTCAAATTTGTGCACTGTACTCCGATCAATGCCCAGCCTTTTGCTATGGCGAGTGGATGAGGTCTGTTATATGCCCCTGTAGTAGGTCATTCCTTTGGATTGGGTTAAATTTAGCCGGCAAGTAATTACCCTGGGAGCAAGGCCCATGAATATTATGATGCCTCACGGAACATCCTTTTTGGTATTAAAATTTTTTTTCTCTAAGCTTGATAAGCAGTATTCTAGGGTCAAAAAGAATCTTCAACCTTAATTTTCAAGCTATGTCGATTGATTTGATTTGGTTCACGTAACTAAGGTCTCTTTTGGAAAGCATAAAAATAGTTAGTTTATTGATATTTTAGCTTATTTAGATCATATCATTGCTCTACTTTTTGCATATCTTTTCGTAAGAGGGTTGCTAAATGTCCCTACTTTTTTACTTAGGACCCCATATTTTTTATTTTATCTTATTACAATTTGTCCTAATACTAAATTCCAAATTTATCTCCATCCCTATTCTCTTAAGTCTAACCTTAATCCTAATCCCACCACCACTTCCGTTCGAAAAATGCAACATTTAGAGATCACCACCACATCCACTCCTGCCAACAACCTCTGGAACCACCACTTCCACTTTCCACCATCATGATGCCCACCCCTTATGACCCAGACCATCACAATCTTTATTCTCACTACAATCCAGATACAATCACAATCTTTATTCTCACTACAATCCAGATACAAAACCAGATTGATGAGTAACCCATATTAACGAAACCAAATCGACAATCTCCCATTGCAGATTGACTCTTTTTGTAATCTTTCATGCACGACTTTTTTTTTCCCCCTCCATCGATTTTTCTCTCTACTTTGAAGTTTGGCCAATTTCTTTTCATTTGGTTACACACAACCAAACATGTTGAATATGTTCAGTGCTTCACAATTGAACATATGCCTTTTGTTTGGCTATATTCTACTGACCATCAGACTTTTGTTTGGAATTGGTTTTTTGAATGGTGGCGAGAGTGGTCGCAAGGCAAAAATTGGGATTGAGGTGCCTACCAGAATGTGAGAGAGGTCCCAAAAGTGTGAGGGTGGAGATTGAAAAGAGGAGTAGGGGGTCGTTGGCAAGAGAGGAACGGAGGAGCAGGGTTGTCGGAGTGGGATGGAGACTACTATGGAAGGAAATGAGGAGTTGTATGTGGAATGTGTAGGGATGGGATTCAAAATGTATATTTGGGATTATGGTAGAGGTCTAAAGAGAAATAAAGAAGGAAGCAATTTTGGTGGTGGGGACCAAAGAAGCAGGGGTCTAAAGTAGAATGGTTGGAGTTTTTAGCGAGTCTTCTGTAATAAGTAAAAAAGTCAATTAGCTTGTTTGGTCTCAGGATTCACTTCTCAGAAAATTGAATTTTTTTTATTTTTTGTGTTTTTTTGTTTTCATTGAACCTTTTTAATATTTTAAGTAATTTTTTTAATTTTTTAAATACACTTAATATAAATATACTTAAAAAGTATAATAGTTGCGATTTTTTTTTATAAAAAAATTCACTAAATAACAAAATATAAAAATACGAGAATTTAATATTTTTTTATATTCTTATATTAATTTTTTAAAATATATTTTTATATATAATTTACTTTTTAAATAAGGAAGATACATTTAAAAAAAACATTCGATTCTAAAAAAAAATTAAATTCAGAAAATAGTGAATTTTTTTTATTATTTATTTATTTATTTTCATTTCTCAAAATAACCCTACGCTAACCTTCGCACTCCATGGCCATTGCCCAGAGTCTCTTGGCTCTGCTTTTTGTTTCCCCAAACAGATTGAAACTCTAGAAACCAAACAATCGATCAATCAAAGCACTGCTCAAACTCCGAATCGATCCTTTTAAAAAAAAGCACACCTTTGAATCGATCAAAGTCTGAATCTGATAAGATAAAAAAGGTGCTGAATTTCCCCAATTGAAGGTCATTGGGGAATTTTATCATTCAAACCCTAAATTTTGCTATCTGTATCTGCCTTAATAATTTGTGGTGTTTTTATTCTTGCTTATGTGTGTGATATGTGTTGTAGAGACGAAGAGAAATGTCTTTTGATTTGATATTGAAGGCGTCGTGGACATGAGCGGCTGTGGAACTTCCAAGGATCTTTATGGAAGCAATTGCAAGCACTTGACTCTCTGTTTGTCCTGTGGAAAATCCATGGCCGAGAAGCATAATAAATGCTACGAGTGTGGCACCCCCATCACTCGCTTGATTCGGGTTCGTTTTCTTTCATCCTCTCACTTTCTGTGTATATAATCACTTTGTTTTGAGTAGTTATTACTGTTTGAAATTGGGATTCACATACCCTTTGTGGAGCTGCTGCTATAGTTTTATGATTTAATTATATTCATCTTCCAAAATTAACAGCCTGTTTTTGGATTAGGTGATTTGGGAAGAAATAAAAGAAACCTTGATTCATATCACCTGTTTTGATTAGCAAAGAGGAGAGAAATGGGAACAAGTGGAGAGTAACCCATTTCTCCTATAATCTTCATTTTGAAACTCTCCAAAAGGGAAGAGATTGGGAGAGAAAAGAAACCAACAAGTTGTTATTTTTTATAGTACAAGGTGGTTAATTTTTTTTAAAAAAAACATCATTATCTGAGAAAATTCTCTAGTTACTCTTGTTAAATGTATAGCAGGAAATGAATGCACTGTTTGGTTGATGAGAAAAACTGGGAAGGAGAAAATGAAATGAATTTTGTGGTACAATATTGTTTGTGTGCGTATGTGCGGACGCCATGTTATGTGGGGCTGTGTGCGCATGTCTGTTTCTCTGTTTTATAATTTTAAATGCTTCATTGCCTCCTTGCATTGTGTGGTCATTTTTATTGCCTGGGGTGTTATAGTTGGAAAATTTGGAATAAACAAAAAGCTTCATTTGCAAGCTTCCAGAATTTTACATACATTTGCAAGCTTCATTTGCAAGCTTCCAGAATTTTACATAAGGCAGTGGGAGTATGAGCCGAATTTGGAGGTTGAGGAATATGAGCTCAGATACTGAAGTGAGAAATCAAAACTTCAATGTTGTAGTTTTGCTCTTGTTACACGGGTTTTGCACCCCATTGGTACCCCTTTTATCAATTTTTTTAATCCAAAAAAAAAAAAAAGAAAACTTCTAACACATATTTTTTCCCCATAGAAAAAACCCTTGCTAATTCTAATCAAATGCAACTACATCTTACAAGATTTTTTTAAAGGTTCTTTTTAGAAGAAGAAATCTGCCAAGTTCCTATCTGAGAACTGTGTTGAATTTTATTTTAATTATATCTTGGGGGTCGGGGATTTGGTGTTCTAACTGCAGCGCGATGCATGCTGTTGTCCGTCATTTATTTGTCAGACTAATTTGATTTTTCAGCTTTTCGAATTTGGGGGTATTAACATATGCATGTTGTTCGCTGTTATAAAATGCTGGGTGTCGAGTATTCTAAGTGCTTAGTGAAATGCTGAAGGCTGAAGTGCTATTGTACATTCTGTTTCTGCCAAACTCAGGAATATAATGTCCGGCCATGTTCTAGCAGCGACAAGAACTACTTCATTGGTCGGTTTGTGACAGGTTTACCAAGTTTTTCAAGGAAGCAAAATGCTGAGAATAAATGGTCTCTCCAGAAAGAAGCATTACAAGGTCGCCAACCAACTGACGCTTTGCGGGTAGTGATTTTGTAACTTATTTTTACAGTTTATCAGTTTGCTTGTTGCTTCAATTTTTTAAATATTTTTAATAGCTGCTGAAATACTGGATGAATGTTCTAGTGCTTTAACTTGACTACAAGTGAAAACCAATGGTGAGTCGTAAAATATAAGGAAAAGGAAAAAATGATTCTGTCTATCTGTATACATGTGCTGATGGTTTGCAGATAATGCTACAATTACTTGAGGCTTGTAAAAAAAGAAGATTCGTGTTCAATTATCAAAATCATTACATTCTTTCTTTCTTTCTTACTTTTGATGTACTGTTGAAGAGTTCCTCCCTCCGCTCCATTCATATGCCCCCTGGTAAATATTTTATTTTCATTTTTTTCATCACAAGCAGTCTGTGTTATGGAATACAACATTGATGTATTTCCGTACTTAGCATGTTGTGTATCCATTTACTGGGCAACCTCTGTGCTGCCTTGTTAACTGCAACAGGTCATTCATCATTGAGGTGGTTTTCTAACTGTGGGTGAGAGGTGTGGTTAGAGGTAGTCTGGGAAGATGGCTTCAATGGCCTGAGATCACCGGAGGTAGAGAGGAGGAGGTCAAGGCAAGCTTGGAGAGAGAGAGGTTGGCAGTGATGGATCTTGAACACTGATATAGAGTATGAGAGGGGTGTTTAAGCGTGAGACTTAGTTGTATTGTTGTTGTGTCTTGCTGCATATACGATACGTTATATAGGCCATAGGAGTGTTGGAGTCCAAGCAAACTGTTGAACAGGCGGTTCGTCCTTCTCAACTTTGCCAGAAGTGATATAAGCTCTTCTGCCGTCTGTGGCTTGACGGCAGATGAAGAGCAACATTTCATTGCAGGCAGAAAGTAACGTTTCGTATATGCATCGGATGACACGAACGTAAGGTCATTGTTGCCTCTTCTGTGAGCCTGGTCGAGATGGAGTTGTCTTAGCAAGAAGACAACCATCTCGACGATCCCATGACCTCAGCCGCCAGTCCAGTATCCTCTGATGATCCCGAGCAGTAGTGCTTGGGTCTTGCTCCCAACCTAAGCATCCAAGTAGGTGAATGGGCTAGGGCCCACCTTAATGTTTAGGAGAGCTAGGGGCTCGCTTCCAAGCGATCAAGTAGGAGAATGGGCGGGCATATCTCAATGTTTAGGAGAGGGGCTCGCTTCTAAGCGACCAAGTAGGAGAATGGGCCGCAGGCAAGGTTCTAAAAAGTGGTTGCGGTCGCCGTAACGATGGTGGTGACGCGGTTGCGGTTGTGGAATGTAAAGGCCGTAGCGTAATGGTTGCGGTTGCGGTAATTGGAACCGTGAATATTTTTATTTTTCGCACAATTTGAATAAAACTTACCGATACGCATATTTTTTTTCCATGATCATATTTATTGGGTTTTAAAATAAATATTGATCAATTTTTATAAATTTTTAAGTTTGATTTAATATATTTCATATTTTTAAATCACTATAAACTGAGTTTTTTACATTTTATCTTAATAATTAATGACTTTATATTATACAAAAAATCAATCACTAACTATTATATATAAGATAAATAATGACAAAAGTAAGAGAATAAATAAAAGCCTAAATATATATATATACATTAATCAAGCCAAATAGATAATGACCACACTTATTATTATTATTATTATTATTATTATTATTATTATTATTATTATTATTTTCAAACAATATATAGATAGACACATACAAACAAAATGGTTGAGTGATAGCAGCTGAATATAATAGCATAGGTCTTACAACTTCAACAAATTAATAACATGTTCATCATCTTCCCTATTCTCTTTCTCTATCTCTTGTTCCTCCATCTTCCCTCTTCTCTCTCTATCTCTCTTCTCCCATTTTCAACTTTTTTTTTTTTTTTGTGTTTTTTCGAAAGAAGCAATTCGGAACCGTTACGTAACGGTGCGTAACAGGTCGTTACAGCCGTTACGACACCGTTATGACCGCTATAGCAGCAACTACGGCTGATACGCCTGTGAATCTCAATTACACTGCAAAAGCGGCCGTAACGGGTCACGGTACCTACCACAACCGTTACGTAATGGCGTTACGTAACAGTTGCGGCTGCTTTTTAAAACCTTGGCCGTAGGCCTATCTTAATATTTAGGAGAGCCAGTGTTTATCAATCCAAGTCCAAGTGAACTGGGGACTGATTGTATTGTTGTTTTGGTCTTGGAGCTGGGTATGAAGGACCATGGGCCCTGCGGGGCCATGGTGCTGCCTGTTGCGGGGTTCTTCATATTTGGATATATTTGGGCTTATATGTATGCTTCCGCTTAAGCTAAGCATATAGTCTTAGTTTTACGTAGTGCCTTGGCACATGGCGCCCGTAGGGCTCGCCATGTATCAAACATACGACATGCCCGCGTGGTGCCTTATTGGTCTGCCACGTGGGTGGGGTTTTGGTGATATGGCACCTGTAGAGCTTGCCATGTATTGGGCTTGATACAAGTACCCACAATAATGCCTTCTGGTACAGATGCTCTTATAGCTAATGAGAGTATTTGTACATGACTTGTGTTAAAAAGTTTTGAAAATATTAGCTCATGTCGACAAGTATTCAGATAGAGTCGTCAAAAATTAGGCTTTTGATACAATAGGGGGATTTGGATTGCTCATGGAGAGTTTACATTTTAAGTTTCATCTGGTGCGAGCCGGCTGGATGAAGATATGGGCTTGTTGGCGATGACTTGATTCCATGGAATCTCCACCACTTCACAGGAGATTTCAGCTTCGTTCCATGGACACCAAATTCCGCCCATCACCCTTTCCATGCAGCTAGGAAGGGGGGTCATGGTCTTGGTGTTAGGATAGCCTATGATTTGGCTTATGAATTGGGCCTCGCTTCCCTTTTTTTCGTGTTTGTGATGATGATGAGGTGGAAGCGTCCGCTAGAATGTAGGTGCATGTAGTGTTGGAGGAAGTTAGGGCAAGTGACACCCTCAATGTTGAAGAAGAGGATGTTGAGCGGCATGTTGTGGGGGATGCTTGGCTGAGCGTTGCGGGAAGCGCTCTCCTCCCATGTTGAGATCTGCAAAGTTCTCTATGTCCTACCCAAGTCCCAAATCTTCATTTGGGTTTTCCAACGATGTTGACATGATGGAGATGTGATGGTCTAGATCTCTCTCTGTCGGTCTTTTCGAGAGGATGTTGATGCGGATCCTCTCGAAATGTGGGATTAATATATGATTTGCCTGGCAGGTGGATCCTTGGAGAGTGAGGTTGGTTTCTTGGTTTAGCAAAAACCACGCGTGGGACGGTGGTATTGTGTAGAGTTCTGGAACGGTTAGTGCCTTGTACCATCCTCTTATTTTACCCTAGAATTCTTCCGGCACCTCTACGACTGTATAAGTGGATATTGGGTGTTGGATCCAAGGGATTCGAATAGCAGATCTTGGAATTGCCATGGAGGCATGGAGAGCATCTTTCGAAAGAACTCACACACCGGGCGGCGGCGGTGGCGGTGGTGAGTGGGAGTGGAGCTTGAAGCTCTAGAGTTGGAGCTTGAAGCTCTATATTTTGAACCTCTTTGGTTTGGAGCCTTGTTCACCGGCCGCCAAACAGTGTTATCTCAGTGCCCCTCTCCTCCGGAAGCCATTTAGAGAGAATGGGTTGTTGAAGTTGAGAGGAGAGTGTTAGTGAGTGGATATGAATTTGCTTGCGTTTTTTTGTGTTGTTGTCCTGTATTTTCTCTCTTATTAGGACGGGGTTGCATTGGGAAAAGGGGGTGAGTTTATTGACTTTTGCAGCTTTTTGTTGGGAAAGAGCTTAGTTGCAGGAATCGTGCAACTAGGTGACGATTCTCAGTAAGAATCGGCGATTCCTAGAAAGAAACGTGTGAGAATCGTGTTTCTTTGGAGAGAGAAACGCGATTCAATCCAAGATGGGATCGTAAAGGGTAGAGAGAGAGAGAGAGAGAGAGAAACCCTAACCTTCGACGTCGACATGAGAGTAGAAAGGGCTTCGATCATCTTCGTCACTCTCGCGATCGATTTTTCCTTGGGAAGGTACAATCTCAGTATGTATATATATTTATAAATATATGATAATGATAATAATTATTATTTATTTTTTTTGGAACTCCTCTTTTGCTTGAACATTGCATTTTTGCCACAAAGGCCCTGTTTGGTAGAGCTGTGGGAAAGTGCTTATAGCTTATGCCTAAACAGCTTATAACTTATAATTATGAACATAAGCTGATTTCTAACTTATAAATTAAGCATCTTCTGCCCCACTCAAAGAATAAGCTGATTTCTGACTTTCAAAAAGCTATAAGCTATAAGTTAAACCAAACACATCAAAATAGCTTAAATTAAGCTGAAAGCTGAAATAAGCAGCTTTTAAGCTGCACCAAACAGGCACAAAGAACCTATACTCCATATGAATTTTAAAAGAACTTGTGTAGATTCTGGGTATAGTTTGAACTTGTTTTATTTATTTATAAATATATATATATATATATATTTTTGACCGGGGGTGTTCGGATTAGCTTACACACATCTTGACTAATCCCAGGACCCACGCAAAACACACCCTCCATGTGGATCGTAGTCCCATAAATAATCTTATGAACCTACATAAGTCATTTCTCACATTAAAATCTTCCAAATTAAGCATACCCACATTTGAAAATGTAATGAGGCAATAATGCACACATTAGAATGATATCCCATTGCCACACTTCAAGAATGATACATTTGACAAAAGTTTTATAAGACAATAGTGCACAAATATCCCATTTGTCACATTTTAAGAAGAATAACACATTGAACAAAAGTTTAATAAGACATTAGTATACACATTAGACTGATGTTTCATTATCACATTTTAAGAATGATACATTTGACAAAAGTTTAATAAGACAATAGATTGCATTGTCACATTTTAAGAATGATATATTTTGCAAAAGTTTAAAAACAATAGTGCACAAATAAAAATATATCCACATTTGTTGTCTCTAAGAAATATAG